AAAGAAAAGAAAAGAAAAGAAAAGAAAAGAAAAGAAAAGAAAAGAAACTTTGAAGTTCACTGCCTGTGCCAATCTGCCTCAGTTAAAGTCACCGAACAAAACTGTAGGAATGAAAAACAGCTTTTCTAGGAACTTCTTTAAAAAATCAGCTAAGGGATTGTGATGGGAGCTGGATAAATGACATTTCTGTTGTCTTCTCAGGAATTCTTTTGAAGAAAAGCATGAAAATAGATGAACAAATTAATCACCACAGACTTTTCCTTGTGATTACATGACCTATGCAGTTCCAGAGGGGAAAGTGCTCCTCCATAACCAGGCTGTTAAGAAACTACTCTGCAAATAAGATCTTTCTCTCTTTATTGTAATGGGTGTTGACATTGACATTGTCATGTTAATTTGCCAATTCAGTCAGGGTATTTGCTTGAATTGAAGCAGAGAAGACATATGAACATCAGCCACCAACTAAGTACATGAAGAACAAAAGCCACCCTTTTATGGTCAGTGGACTTCATGTAGTTTTCTTTCAGCAAGAGGGATGGTCAGATATAGGAGAAATACAGACTGGCTGAATTGTAACAGCTATCTTCTCGTTTCAGGAAAAAAAAAAAAAAAAGAAAAAAAAAGAGGAACCGTACTGGATGTGGGTGAGTGGAAAGATTTGCTGAATGACTTGCCAATGGTGTCTCACAAAGAAAGTGAGCTAAAATCTTATTACAGCTGCAATTAACTGGCAGAGGATTTGCTTGTAACAAAGACACCCCTCCAAGCATGAAGCTTAGCATTTCATGGCTACCACGGTTGTGCCACTGCCTGATCCCCATTTGGGAAGGGCTTTGAGGCAGAGCAGCAGAAGAACTGAATGCAACCTGTAAATGGGAACCAACTTGAATGGAAGGACCATGTGCTGCACACTAGTATCTGCAGAAGATGCATGGAAGCAGACTGAATTGGCACATATGCCAACTCAAGAAGTGAAGACATTGAAAAATAATATGTAAATATTTTGTACACTTTCTAAAAGCACCTTGCAGACGCAAGCCCTAAAGACAGAAAGAGACTGATTGCTGTCTCACTTTGTAAACAGAAACCTTTGTTTCTTTGAAAGAATCTGTAGTGGTCCAAAATCCTTGGAGAGGGCTTTCATTTACTTTATTTTACCTCCATCTTTCTCACATCCACATTCAGCCTCATGCGGGGTTACAGTCAAATGCATATGTGGTGCTTGAGTAGATCTATAAAAAAATAAGAGTTTGTTTCAAACACAGGAAGAGTCAGACATGAAGATTCAATGCCAGGTTGCAGGGAATAAGCAGGAGATATCCTGGGCTGGGTCACTTCATCTCATAGATCACACTTGCTCTCAGATGCCAAGCTCTGCTTTTTATTCCTGCAGTTCAGAGAGCTGGTCTTCCAGCAAAAGTACGTCATCAGGCTGCTGCTGTAAACCATTAGCAATCCCAAACTGTTGTTTTCAAGCACCACCATTGCTGCCTCACATCCTTTCCTGGGGGAAGATATGCCTTCAGTAGAGACAGATTGGTTACTAAGAACTTGAGAGCAGAACAACATAAATGCTTACATGTAATTACATATTGTGCAAATGCAAAGCTTTGGTTCAGCCAAAGGCAGCAACCTCAGAAGGAACCAGATGGGGACATGAATAGGTTGAAATTAATGACTCTCAGAGATATTTACAATAGAGTTCAGCATCAAGTTGTATCTCTGGTTAAGTTCACAAACAAGTGTCTCAAGAAGTAACAAGTGTTTTAAGTGAAATCATAAGCATTACAGCAATGGGCAAAAAACTTAACTATAACCTGTAAATCAAAACTCAAAGGTCTTACAAGGCCACTGATTTGCAGGTGTGTATCCAACAGAAATGTGATTCTGCAGACCTGATAGAAGAACTCTCTTAATCTCTTTTTCCATGCATAGGTAACTCACACTGCATGCAAATGTCGTATCTCTAGTAATCAATTCACTTAAAATCATTTACGTACAGCAGAAAATGTATTTTAATAGTACTTTTTTAAAGGTCAGATAATGCAAGGAAAACAAGCAAAAAGGAAACTAAAGCTTATCCAAGTGATAATTCGAATGTCCTACTAGAGGCTTATAGAACATAAAGGTGCTGAAAAAGAACACGTTACAAAATGAAAAGGAGTAAGCTGCCTGGCAGGATCAAGATTAAGACTTAGGAAATTCCCATTAAATCAGTTTGTCCCAAGTTTACTCTTGCTTACAACAGTGTAAGCGAGCATACTCTTAGACATAACAGTATATACTAAACAATATAAAAGTATAATATTCTTTTTCTAGTTGAAGTGTTCCAAATGACAGGACTTGGCTCCAGACCTGATTTTCACTCTCCCCACACTCTGGGAAAGACCACATGCCATGTTTAGACAAAATTGTTTTGTGGTATAAAATAAGAATCCATTATGAAATTCTCTTTCCAAAACTCCCAGGCCCCAGAATTCAGACAGACTCTGAACTGATGGGACTTCTTACGTTCTCTAGCTTGCCAGTCGTGCTATTCTCTAAGAGCTGTTTTGAGGCCAAGCCAGGACAAATTGGTCCTTCTGATTTATATGTGACAGTGCCTGGTGTTACACTTACACTTACACTTATGTCTCAGATGGGCCATGCTTTCCAAAAATCAGCTTGCATTTCCCTCCATTTCTAGACAGTACAAACAAATGCATACAAACACATCAGGGTAAATTCAGCTTAGCAACAGAAACTAATGGACTATGAAAAGTATTTATTATTTGCAAGCCCCTAAGAGCAAAAATGCCAACATCCAGCTACCTACCTAATGCCATGCTAGTATATGTACACACAGACATATATATATATCCTGGGGAACTTAGAATAATTTTAAGGTATATTTTGCCTTCACTTTCTATATTAGTGTGTTTCTGACCCATACTCTGAAGCCATTCATTCTAACAGTCCAAGATGTTCTCCCCTTCAGGAGAAAACAGCAAGACATTTTGAACTAGGTGAACAGTGACTTTTCCAAACAACAATATCCCATAATAAAGTTGTCAGATCATCCTTCTCACTTTTTATTTGACACGGTAACTGTGTCTACCGTTTCGAGTTATTGTAGTAAGTAAGCAACACATCAAATTTCTCCTGCAACCATCACTATGCTTGTGCAGATACAGCTATTTCCAGATTTCCAAGAATATTCCCAAAGAGCTGAGTCTGAAAAAAATGAATACAGTATTTTATACCACAAAAGAACATCAGCTGTCTGCTTGCAGCCCTGGGCAGGTTCTAAAGATTAGATCTGGAGTCCTTATCTAATTGTTCTTCAAGCAAAGGACTTGGACAAGCATCTGACAGCAGGAGTACAAGATTTCTACTTTGTCAGCTCTGAGGATACATCAGCCTCCTGCAAGGGGAGGTTTTCTATCTCACCCCATAACTTCTTTCCTATGGTGCCATGCAATTTACCCGATATTGTGCAGACACTCATTCAGTCATCCAGAAGCTATGTACCAAACATCATGGAGACTTTTAGAAGCAGACACTCTTACTTATTTAGTGTACAACACTGCCTAAATAGCCAGGGCCATGTCTGCACTGGATCTGCTGCATATGAATAGAAGTCTTTACTAACTTAATGATGTCAGCAGAGCTACACTGAGCTTACACCATGGAGTTAGCCCACTCTGCATTGGCATTGTTGTACCAGAGGCTCTGGCTGCTCATACACTGCATCTTTGACTTGTCCTGCCTCTGCAGATGGAGAGGCAGTCACTGGAGAGGCTAGTCTAGATTTCTTAATTGTTCTATGGCAGGCCAATTCTTACTCATTCTCACTCCACCCACAGAAGCCAGAAATGAAGAATGTTGATCAAGGTTTCTCTCAGCCAGCTCAGCTTCCTATCATGGCAGAATTGTTCATACTGTAGACTTGCATAGAGATCAGATTTTAAACTTTCTCACAACTTGCAGTAGCATGTAATTGCCAAATCCTTTTGCAGTAAGAACCTTTACAAATTCAGCAGCTGCTGAAACACCAATCCCCTTTTATTATTCTATTTGTGGTGTTTTAATATGCATCATGGTCTGCAACTGTCATTCACCTGAAGCACATGCCATAATATCTTGAGTCAAGGCATTGGGGTTCAGTAGTTCCCACTAATGTGGTCTGTCACACAAAGAAGCAAAAGAAAAGTTTCTGGGGAGCCACAAGCAAAACAGCATCTTAGCAGGCAGGTTTACCATGCACCTTCTCAACTTGCAATGAGTGTCCAGACAACACTGGTGTGAGACAGGCAATGCCTCTAGAGTGGGTTGTGTGCAAGAGGTTTGAGTGGGCTGTAAGACATGGGTTAGTTGGGCTTGGTGATGAAAGGTCCTGCTGAGCCTGGAAAAATGGCTCCCAGCAGTCTGAGGAGCAACGAGACAAAGCTGTGTTCCTGTCCACATCAGAATTGATTGCGTATGGCAAAATAATGTTACGTTTTTTCCCGCCTAACAAACTGTGAGAAGCTGAACTATTCAACTTTATCTAGCCTTCAGAATCAATCAATCACATGAGGAACCTGTAAAATGGAAGTTTTTTGTCCAGGAAAGAGAACTGGAAAAGACCAATGGAGTCAGAAAGTCATTTCTGCACAAGCCAAACTGTTTCTCCACACACTATACATACCCCAGCCCCCTTTACTACTATCTGATGGCACTGCAGGAGCCACATAGGACATTTCTGTGACGCTTTCTAATTTTGTGGCTTTTGATCTTCTCCACTAATAGTCCAAATTTGATTAGAGGCTCCTAGGAAGTGTCATCATTTGGGAAAAGAAAGAAGATGGATGGATGTTTTGTGGACCAGTCTGAAGGAGAACTACCTGGCAAGTCTGTCGGTCTAATGTAACACAAAACAGTATCACTTTCACTGAATTTTCAAATGTTATGTTGAAGAAAAAAAAACATACTTTGAAAGAACAACTCCAGATACTGCAAGGAAAAAAAAAAAAAAAGCAAAATAAAGTATACAGTCAATGAAAAAATACCAATCGCAAAAAGGAATTTGAGTAGATTTGCTCACTGGGTTCATCACCCAGACCAGTGCCTGAATTCTTCATCTGTGTATCACAAGCACATCAGGAAAGAAAGCAGGTAAAATGTTCTTCCCCAGAAATCTCCTACACTGAAGCAGTCAACAATCTTAGTTATCTGAATACACTTTAAATCCGTGCTGAGATCTTAGAAATGATAGGGATTATTTTTAACAAAAGAATTAATGAAGAAAAGAAATTAAAGGCAGCAGCAGGCTCCTATAACTCCAGGTGAAAAATCTTTTTGTCTTAGAAAGAATTCATGTTACAAAATGGGATTTGTTTAGTAGGCTATTATTCAGCTTTATGGTCTTTAATTTCTCTATTTGCTCACCTTATGGAGAAAGAAAACAGAAGTTAAAAACAAAAGCTGATAGTAAACATACATTAAGAAATATGAAGAATCGTGGGACCAACTGACCACTTCAGTGATTATGAAAACTGTAAACTATTTAAAGAGATTACTTTTCACTGCTCTTCATTAGGTTCTTATTACCTCGGTCATTAACATTTGGCTCTTATTATTATGATTGTGAAATACTGCTCACAGTAATGGACAAAGAAAGTTGACGTGGCTATCTTGATTAACTCATCAATAATCATTTGGAATAATTTTTCTTCATTCACTGGATGAATCATTCACATGTCCTTTTAATAATGCACATTGTTGCACAGTAAATTAGCATGAAGATTACCCACCTTTGGGAGCTACATTCTGCTTCAAAGCCTCACTCAAAAGAGATAGCAAATGTGAATTTCACTTCAAAAAAAAAAAAAAAAAAGAAAAGAAAATAAGGAAAAGAATTTTCAGAAAACAAAGACTTCTTTGTATGTTTTCAGTACAGCAAGACATGTAGCCCTAGGATTATGCAACTGAACTCAACCTTTAAGCCACTGTATACTTGAGAACATGTGAAAAACATATACCCCATCTATTTTAATTCTTCTCAGGGGAGTAAATCAAATCTCTTATTTCTCCTGAGGCAAATATAAGACTGAATCATGAATTGAAATTACTTTTTTGTGCACGGATAAGAACATAAAAGGACATTGGTTGGCTGTGGATCTGCCTTTGCAAACCTCCACTCAAATGGGATTTCATAGCTGGTTGTGACTGCACGCTCTGACTGTACATGTGGAAGTAGGCCTTGATAGATCAGTCGTGTCTCTGTGGAAAGCTCTGACAAGTCATTTTCTTGCTGAAGTTCTCAAAGGACAGGAGGTGAACTTCTAGCTCTCAAGTCATACCGTGTTCACTGTGGCAGGTAATAACAGCAACACTGCTCACGTCTCAAATAATATTTTCTGTGAAACAGCAATGAGATGTCATTTTACCCACCTCTTTCCTGGAAAAGACAACACTAAACAGTCAACAGTCAAGGCAATTCTTGAGATACTCAAGTATCTTGCCTTTTCCCATCTCAATATATGTTTCTTTATCTAAATATTTATTACTACATCTTTTCTTCCAAAACTCACTACATGCTTCCTCTCTGAAAGTGCATCAAGCAGCTGTATTACAAGTTACTCAGTTGCTACCCATTTTAGCTCTGAGGAAAGGCAAGCTACTACTTTTACATTCCTGCTGGCTGAAAGTAACAACCACAAGTCAGGACACCAAGCCACCAGCTGCAGCCAGTGTCAGGTTATCAAAAAGAGAGTAAAACAAGATAGAGGAATAGTGCCCTGTCCATAGTACACTTCCTCATTCTGAAGTAATTTGGAGCTCAGGAGCTTCCTGAGCAAGGAAGTCCTCATATTTAACAGAGGGCTTTTTCTTCCATTGATTTTTCTAATTTATTTTCAAACCACACAAGCCAGTTACAATCTGCAGCATCCTGTGGTGGTGGTTTCCAGAATTTTACTGCACACTGTGAGGAGAAGTAACATCTTTGGCTTGTTTTCAGTCTGCATTGAATAAATGATAAATTTCTTTCAATGGCTTCTGGTTGTTGCATAGAAGGAGATGAAGAATCCTTTGGCACTTTTTTCATGACTGACAGTTTCTTACAGCTTTCCATAAACTCCTCATCCATTATTTCTTTTCCATGCAGAATGCTAACCTTTCAGCTGCACTCATGGTTTTTTGTAATGACCAAACTTTTTTCCTGTTTCCTGTTCCTTCTTCTTTTCCTAATTCTGTTCATGTACTCTTTTCCCCCACTTCTAAGCACTGACTAAATATTTTCAGAATTTATGATAGTGCAATCATGATGGCAATCAGTTCTGAGCTTGCTACTGTGCACGCAGTGTCAGTTGTGTTTTCCCCCTCATGTATGATAATTTGCTTTAATCTGTACTGGATTTCATCTGCCTTTTTATTTCCTATACACTCTAAAGCAAGAAAGTCTTCCGTAAATTTTTTAAGTCCTTACTGTTTTGGTGTTATAATTTACCTGCCCTAACTAAGGTCACATCAGTGAGTACATTCATTTTGCCACCACTTACCTCACAAGCAAGTATCTATAAAGAAGGAAAATAGCTTAGGATCACTACTGGTTCCCAAGGAACTCTCCCTTGACATCTCTACATTGAGCAGCTCAATCATGTATTCTCATTCCTTGTTTCTTACCTTTTAATAGCTCATTGATGCACGTGAAGAACTTCCGTCTGTTCATTTTTTTCATAATCTTTCATTTTTTTCATGATCTTTCATCCTTCTTTCTTTTTTAGGAAACTTTGGGAAGGGGCTACATAGTCCAAAACTGTAGAGAGAAAAAAGAAAATGACTTCTGTTTCTTTATCTCCCACTTTTCCTTGTTCAGAAACACACATTAGAAGTACAGCTTGCCATGAAAAAAATCTCTCTGAAGACTACTGAACTTTGTCTCCTTGTAAGCGGTCTTTCTGAAATAGCACTGTTGCCAGTTGTTGTAATCTGGTTATTCTTATACCATACCAACCACAAGAAAATCACCAGGAAATATCTAGTTAATTCTCACAAAGAAAAAACTGTTTCATGAGAAGGAAGTCACTGTTGGGGATAGAGAAGGAGAATAACATTTGTTTGATAGTTAGGATTAATTGGAAAATAAACTGTGTAATGGATGCTTGCGAATGAATAAATAACACAATGGAATATTCAAGCCATTTTCCTATCTTTATGCACAACAGTCTGTATCAATGCCCCACTCATAGAGATGGAAATAAATATTACATAAATACGAAAATACTTTTTATAGTCACAATGGGAAAGACATCTTCCTGTACTTTACAGCTGAAATAGCGTTAATCTGCTCTTTTCTCTCCGTGCTTTATGTAGCAGCTATTTCGGCATGCTGAATCTGCCTGCTGAGTGAGGAGGGCAGCTGTTCATCTGGTGCACATTTCCAGTGCAACAGCTCCGGCAGGAACATTTGCACCTCCAGCCAACGCTATTGGCATCAATGGTGCCAGCGGGATTTGTAAGATTTCCGCTCTTCTATACACCTATCGTATGACAACACTTGAATTGTGTAGGTTTGTCATTTCAGGAGACACGATTCAAGATCTCTTGAACATATTCTCAAAGCTCAAAAAGATTATAAACAAAGGAAATGACATGTGGTTTTATGATCACTGCTATAAAATATTTTATCAGCTGAAGGACAGTACCCCAAGCTGCAATGTATATTCACTTGAACGAGCCTCAGTTAACTAGGTAATTCTCTTAATTTTGCGAGCTTCTATTTATTCTAGCTTCTATGTGTGCAAGCAGATCCCTGTGCATGTTGGGTTTGTGAAGGGATCTGGCCTGGCAGCTGAGCTTTTAAACATATGGAAGCAAAAATATTTTCCCATCAAATGCTACAATTTGCTGAATGAGAAATAATTTCGTTTTCCCCTTCCTGCTACACTGTCACTGGTTTTTTTTTGTTTTTTTTTTTTCAGTTTGAGAACACAGGTGCCTTGAAAATTCACAACAGAGGAAAAAAAAACAAAAAACAAATAATAACAGAAAGACAGAAGTGAAATTGAGACTTAAAAAGGTAATCAATTGTTTTGTTCATATGACCCAATTCTTACATTTAAGAAGAAATTGAATTTTTTCCATCAAAAAAGTACATCCTTATCCTAAGGAGAAAATTTTGAACAGAATTTCACTTTCCAGTTGGATATTGTTTTGGCTGAGAAGCTTTCACTGGGTTTACTAGATTTAGCACTAGACTAGCACTAGATTTACTCCTAGAAAGGAGATGCTACTCAGTGTCTGTTTCCCTTCGCATCATTATAGGAAGAAAAATTTATATAGAAACTGTCTGCATGCAGTGCAAAGTCTTTCACGTTCTCAGCTTGGTATAGTTCTTGGTTTTCACAATGACTGCATTTGCAAATATTTTTCTGGCGCATACTTTTGTAAAAACGTTTATGTTTCATTTTTCTTTTGTTCCCAGAAAATCGTCCTCTTAGCTACCCTTAATTAAGAAAACTTTGTACTATTGGTCCATATTAATCTTTTCATTAATAATTAATGTATCATAAAGATAATGATGCTCAGTGAACCAATTGTTTTTCTTCATTATGTGAGAAACAAAAGTTGTTCTTTGACTCATTGCCCTAGAATCAAAATTGCATCAATAGGGGAGAACGCAGAAGTAGAACTTTTTGAGCTGTGAGTAGAGAGAGTGTGGAAATAAACAAAACCAAATGACTTTACTTTTCTGCTCCAGCACTCAAAACATGGTGGGTCTACAACAAACAGCGAAAGCTATTTATGTGCTGATGAACCTGATATGCATTAACAAGTTCACTTGAGGATTTATGCACTGCTGTTATACAATCCTAAAAGGCACTGTTGGAAACCATGAAAAAAGACTGCAAAAAAAGAAATCTTTTCTGTTAGTAAAACATGAATAGGTAAATTCTTCAATGTATTAAAATGTTCCCACCTGTGAAAAATTCAGTGCCATTAACACTGTGCAGTTTGGCACAGAGGAAGTGGTGAGAGAACTGGATCGCTAGCTACAAAGAGGAAGACTCAGCTCTACAGTAACATACACGCAGTGCTGACCCACAGTCACATATAGTCAGCTTAATACCTCATGAAGTCACAGCTCATGAAGTAGACAAAAACAATTGAATACTATTTCCAGAAAGATACTGTTTCCAAAGAGCACAGTAAAAGAATGGTAAGAAATAATGAACACAAAAATTTACTTTTCCATCATGTACACATATTTGGTTTAATCATATTTAAAGAGAGAGGACAGTAGGATCATTGGCTTTTCTGTCATTTTGAAGCATGATACGCCTTTAATATTCCACTGTTCTTCAGACATGGATTACATGCAACCAAATCAGTTCAGATTTCATCTAACGGAATGAAATCTTGGGCTCTGCTCTGTAGCAAATATGTAAATGCTAAAAATAGCTGCTTGCTCTAGAGTCAATCACAGCATCACATCCCATTCCCAAAATGGCTCCGGTGAACAGGAGGTTTGAGGGAAGCATTGAAGAGTTTGAAAGGAGCTGGACTGGAGTGCACGTTTATGTAAAAGCTGGACACCGTGTCAAATACAGCTGTACATTAATGTGGTATAGTCTTCAAACTGATGCAGCTGCGCTGTTAACAACAGGGTAGATAGAGCTCGTGGTTCAACTTCAGACATATTATCAGCACTAATCAAGTAACAAAAGCAATCACCTTTGAAATCTCAGTAAGTACAGATTTTCTAGTATAAGTTAGAGTAGAACTACTTTCGTTAGTGTATTTAATGTTACATTATTTTGACATTTATAAAATCAGCATCTGCTGCCTGCAGTCAGCCTGCTTCATTGATCTTTCTATTCTCCCTTTTTTTTTTAAGCATTTTTTCTTTTAAATCTATTTTTTTTAATTATTCATAATAAAATAATTAAAAGAATAATGTTACTTTTAAACACAATCTTGGCAATTTAGGTGCTTTTTAGGAACAATGCACCAACTTGATTTTCATGCTTTAAAAATTAACCTACTCTTAGGGTTAGCCTGTGCTTGCATTCAAAGTCCACTGTATTCTGTAACTTGGTTAAAAAACAATAACTGCAGTGGTGAAGACATATTCATCTAGTTTTATGATGCACTAAATAAATCTTGAGTGAACAAAAATGATCACAATGGGAAAATTCTGACGTTGCAAAGTTCTGAGCACCCAACACAAAAGCAATAGTCAGTTTCTGTGGTTATCCCAGCTCCTAAGCTGCAAGGACTGCCTGGCTCTGTGCTGAAGACCCTACAGGAGCTACTGGCAAACACAGGACAGAAGAAGCAAACTGACCTCTTGATGACAAGCTGATGCTGACCCCAACAGCTAGGATGTCATTTGGGTACACACCCTGGAGACTTCTGCTTTGTTAGGAGAAAGAGGACACCCATTCCTCCAAAGGGGAAAGGTCCCTCGTGTCCTAGGAGCCCCAGCCCCTGCTGTTAGCTGAGTACTGTTCCTCCACACTGGCTGTGGGATGACAAGGAAGGGGAAGAGCCATAAGGGCAAGGGGCTTTGAGATAGCTCCTCGGTGCCTCCATTTCTGCCATTTTTTTTATGTTTCATGGCAAACAAATTGCAGCCAACATTGTGAGCCTTATCTGAAGTACTCACACGAGCCCTGAAAACATGATCCAATTCTTTCCCATAGCACTGTCTTGTGAGTAAGTCTCTAAAAAGCTCAGTTATTCTCTAGACCTTTTCATCGGCTTTTTTTTACACACATCAATAAACAAGTAGTTGCAAAAGGTTCTGAAACAGCTGTGAAATAGCATGAGTCACATATCAATTGGCAAAACATGAATACTGTGAGTGACAAGTGTTTCACAGCCAGATTTTTCTTGTAGTGCTGAGTAAGTGCAAAGAAAGGCCAAGACCAGAACTACCTGTTTCAGAGAGGCTCTTTTCTTGGTGCGTACCAGGCAGAAAAGCCTGGAAGAAAAGCCATCCTGATGGGTATGATCTCTCCCAGTCCTGTCTCTTGCCACTCTTTCCTCTGCAGCCTCCCATTTTGGACAGTAAAATGACCTAAGGCTGCAAAAACCAAACATCTCCTGTTTGCATAGGGACACCTCCATCTGTGTAGGTACACTGTGATACCAGAATGTGTTCTGCTGCACGTGTTCTGTTCTGTCTGTGCATTTGGGCAGGTGAGCTCTCCTGCACTGACAGCTAGAGGTATTACCAGACCTTGAGATGTTACTGAAAGCCATGTGCATTTTGGTGCTTTCCCTCAAAATGCTCATCCCTCTTAGAGGTATGTTGTTGAGGAAAACTCCCTGTGTTCTTTATTTTAAGCGCTGCTAGACAGCAAATTTAGCCTCATAAGAAACGTTAGATGGACACTTTCCAAAAGCTCAGAGTGTGAGCAATTAAACACTCAACTTATTTCAAAATCTTCTGATTCTTAGGCAAATCTGTTTTTCTTTCCCCTTCTTCTGACTCCTGATTTCCCCAGAATTGAAGACATACTAGTAGTTCAGCTTACAACAGCAGTTGTTAGCAGATTACCTACCACCCATGCTTGCATTCTTGGTGAGGACACAGGCCCGTGTACAGTCTCATACATGCAACTACTGGCTTGTCTTATCTCTCTCCCTCCCCCGAAATGTTCTAGCTTAGGCCTTGGGACAATAAAGGGCATGCAGGCTACTTTTTTATTCTTTGAAACACCCCCGGAAAATCATTCCCAGGCAGAGGAATGCTCACTATGGCCATACCCAGTTGCGCTCGAATAGCAGGTCTGCATGACAAAACTGCTT